CATCATCATCACCATCATCATCAATATATCATAATAATAACTGTAGCATCACATTATCACCATCATTACTATCATCATCATCATCATCATCATCACCACCATCACCATCATCACCACCATCATCACCATCATCATCATCCCCTAGCAGGTGCTCAGACCGCCTAGCAGAATCATGAGTGCTGAGTTCTATTCTTTGCCTTCATTCCACAACCAACAGCTCGGTTGGTCAGGCCTTTGGAGCTCCGTGCCCGCCTGTGGCTGCTCACCCAGCTCCTGCCACTCCTTGAATAGCCATGTGGACAAGCCCCCGGGTCCCCTACTGTCCTCACCCCCAGGTAAGGGAGCATCACTGAGGCGGAAGGGCTTAGAGTCACGCATCACCCAACACTGTCCCACAGTGAAATGCCACCAGGATGGAATCTCAGGGTGGAGGAGGGACAGGACAAGGGCTGCTGAAGAAACCAGACAGCTTCCGGGGAGATTCGAAATTCAAACCCAGACAGGATCAGGGAAGCCGCATTGGGAAGCAGACGAGAGTTCTGTCGGTTTGATTTCTCTCCTGTTTGGGGGGTGCTGCCAGGTGTCGTTGGCATAGAGTTGGCTAAACTGTACCCCCATCATCACGTGCCTCCACCAGAGGCCTTCTCATCCCACATCTCAGCCCTGTGGTGTCTGTGGACAAGGGAGGGAATGCGGAGCTCAGACCAGTAAACCCTAGCGAGGCATCCGCAGGAGTAGAACACGCCGTCGGAACTATGAGCACCTGAGATGTGAGTGGCCAGCCGTCGGGGAGCTCTCAGCACCGGCTCCCGTGTGCATGAGAGACGGCCCTGAGCAGGACACACACTCAGAACACGGATACAGGGACCAAGCAATGGAAGCAGCGGGCCTCAGAGCCAGAGAGGACCCCTCACCTGACTGCACCTGCAGCCAGGTGGACACCGAGCGGCCACTCACCATCAGCACGGCTCTCCGGAAGAGTCTGGAGCCGCCAGCCCCGGCGGTGAGAAGGTGGATGCTGGCCACGTCGGCTCCACCGTGGTCGGCTGCCATGGTCACCCGCCGAGGGTCCCCGCCAAACGCTGCGATGTGGGTCTGCACCCAGGTCAGAGCCGCCACCTGGTCCAACAGCCCCCAGTTGCCACTCACTGCGCCGGCCCCTTCAGAGAGAGGAGAGCCTTTTACCTTTTGTGATTTTGCAGCTGGAACTTAATTACCCTGGTGCCGTCCAGGCCAGGCACCTGGTGCCTCTGGGGGACCTGACTTCTGTCCCCACAGGTCGGGACTTGGTCACTGTGAGGCCGATGGGAAGAGCATGGGCTCCGGCCTCAGAGCCATCTGGTGCCTCTGGGCTCAGGAATCAGCAGTGCCCACCAATGCCAGCAACTCACCAGCGCTCAGGAAGCCGAAGATGCCCACTCGGTAGCCAGCAGTGACCACGATGAGGTGGCCAGTAGCAGCCAGGAAGGAGCCGTCCAGGGCGAGGCTCCCGTCGTCGGCCCCGGCCTCCATGTTGTGGAAGAACAGCAGTACAGACGCGTTGGGGGCCTGTGGGATGGGAGAGATGCAGGGCTAGAGGTTGGCCCATTTCCCCACCAGGCTCCTTTCCCATGAAGGTGCCAGATTCTGAGCCTGCACAAACTCTCCCCGTCAACTCTGCCCTGTAGGCCTACGCAGCCCCATGTGATGGGTAGAAATATGTCCCCCAGAAGTCACATGTTGAAGCCCTAAACACTAGACCTCAGAAGGTGACTATTTGTAGATGGGTTCTGTAAAGAGGTAATCAGCCAGCCTGGCCGGTGTGGCTCAGTGGTTGAGCATCAACCTATGAACCAGGAGGTCACAGTTTGATTCCTGGTCACAGTGAGGGCACATGCCCGGGTTGCGGGTTTGGTCCACAGTGCCGGGCTGATCAATGATTCTCATCACTGATGTTTCTATCTTTCTCTCTCCCTCTCCTTTCCTCTCTGAAATCAATAAAAAGAGGTAATTAGCCAGTGCACCCTCGTCCAATATGACTGGTGTCCTTACAAAAAGAGGACATTAGGACACATACATCCACCCAGAGAAGACCACATGGACACACAGAGGGGAGATGACCATCTACATGCCAAGGGGAGCGGCCTCTGAGGGAACACACCCTGCCGACACCTTGATCTTGGACTCCAGGCCTTTACAATCATAAGAAAGTAAATTTCTGTTGTTTAAGCCTCCACATTTGTGGTACTTTTATCAGAGCAACCCAAGCAAACTAATAAACCCAGTTTCACAGATTAGGAAACTGAGGGTCACAAATACCCCAGTTCTGGCCACTAGTTTACTCCTGGAGAATGTTCTGGGTCCTTGGTGAGCCCTTTTCATGCGGCCATGCTAACTGGAACCCCCCATCTTGTGATGCAGAGCTTAACTCAGACAGCCAGGCACTGTGTGCCCAGGATTTTATTCATTCAGTCCTC